CACACATATTTACAGTACTGAATAATACTTGTTTAATAATAATATATATTAATGCTACTAATGCTGCTATTAAATTACTGTTACTAGTAATTGTAGTTCTAGTAGTAGCCATAGAAGTACTTTAACTACTACTATTACTACTGCTACTGCTGCAACAGTACTACACAGTACATTGTACCACCCTTACTAACACTGCTAATTCTCATATAATCTAAGCATCTAAATATTTATATTAGTTTTGTCAGTATATTCACACATTTAGAGCCTGCAGCTGGTAGTTTATTAGTTATTGACTGAGTTATATAGATCAGTCTCAGCCTCTGCCATGCAAGGTGCCAACTGCTCTTTAGAAAGAGAAACTAAGAGCATTAATTCATTCAAACACCAACCTCCAGAGTCACAGCCGCTGTGTGAAGCAGTATTATTAGTAGTAGTAGTAGTTGTGAGCTGAATACTGTAACGTATGTGTTTATCCGGCAGCACCTGCGTTGCGGTACGACAGGCGTGGTGACGTTCCTGCGGGGTCGGACGTTGTACGTGGCCTGGCTGGGAGACTCCCAGGTCATTCTGGTCCGGAGAGGACAGGTTGTGGAGCTGATGAAACCACATAAACCAGACAGAGAGGTAACACACATCCTCACACACACCGTGTATAAATACCATCAATGTACATATTTATTTATTTCTAACAGGAAATATAACTGAGGATGTGATCTTAAAGGGTTAAATGATTACTTTGATTAAATTAGATTAATGAATAATGAAAATAACTCTTTTGTTGTTCTCATTAAATCTGTATTGACTTCCTGGAAGCTCAAACTTAAGTGTTTGCAAATACAATGAATTTTGCTGTTGCTGTTGGGCGGACTTTCGCTTTAAGTGCACAACAGAGGAGGCAGGTAATGCACCGAGCCATTCGCTGCAGGGAACGACGAGTTGAGACTGTTATGTACCATGTGATCGACCACCACTAAAGCCAACAATGGTTCTTTGTGTGTCCGCAGGATGAGAAGCAGAGGATCGAGGCTCTGGGAGGCTGTGTGATCTGGTTCGGCACATGGAGGGTTAACGGCAGTCTGTCCGTATCCAGAGCGATCGGTAAGCTCAGTCAGTTATCAATACATGACAAATGACAAACACCTAGAACTGGAAACGCCTGAAACCATTAAATAACAATATATTTAGAATAACGTTCACTATCTGGCAATGATCCTATAATTTATTTGGACCCATTACGTCCGATGGCTACTAGCTAGCTCGCCGTTTACAAATCACCCCATCAGCCAACAACCCCAGTTAGCTTAGCTACAGTTAGCTAGTTGAATGCCCCTTCCTCGCATCACTCTTGGCTAGTAGAAAGCAACTGTTATCTTTGTAACATTAAATGTATTGATAGTTAAAATGAAGTTAGTATTATGGATCACATTGGCTGGTGAAGTAATTTGCAAGCTAGCCAAAGAACATATCTACTCAGATAGTAATTTGCCAGTAATAACATTAGTGAGCAAGCAACTTAAGGTTGGCCAACCAGTTGCAATCCAACCACAATGCATTTGTCACTTGCAAATTGCAAGCTAGCCAGATCAGCCCCGGGGGTCTGGATGAAGCTAGCTGACACTATTTTACTACAGTTAGTTAGCAATTTATCTGCGTAAGAAAATAAGCTACCGTTAACCAGCTAGAACCACAATATCATAATATATTTCACAAGTTTTGCAGCAATGTTAGTTTGACTTTAGACCAGTGGGTCTCGGCAATTTGTAGACGTTAGCGGACTCGATTAATGAGTTACTGTTAGTGTTGCACACTGTTGACACTGAGGTACTCAGGAAATGTCACATACTTTGGATATTGGTGGAAAATTTGACCCAAGAGTTTTTAAATAGAAAGCAGTCCACAGAGAGAAACTCAGGGAAGGTCAAATTTTAGATACATTACAACTCCTTCCCAAGTTGGGAAGAAAAAGTGATGAATACGTAAACGTAATGCATAAAATGCTTCAGAAATATACATATGCACCTTTAAATAAGGAGTAAACTTTATCTGTGACCTATGTTGACAGGTGACTCGGAGCACAAGCCCTACATCTGTGGTGATGCAGACCATAGTATCTTCCCATTGGACGGTTCAGAAGACTACCTGATTCTGGCCTGTGATGGCTTCTGGGACACAGTGAATCCAGATGAGGCGGTGCGGGTGGTCAGCGACCACCTCCTGGAGAACACTGGAGACACCACCATGGTAGCCCACAAGCTCGTGGCCTCGGCCCGAGATGCAGGCTCTAGCGATAATATCACTGTCATAGTGGTCTTCTTGCGGGACCCACGCTCCCCACCACCCACCAGCACGGAGGACGAGGAGGAGGGTGTGGTGGAGCGAGAGGTTGAGGAGGAGGAGGTAGCGGAGGTGGAGGAGGAGGAACAGGAAGAGGAGGAGGAGGAAGACGAAGCAGTCAGGGTAGAGCGCGATGGTGGTGAGGGAGGCAGCACTGCGGACATCGGGGGGAAGGGTCGCGGAGGCTGGCCCCTGCAGCAGTGCTCGGCCCCCGCTGACCTCGGCTATGAAGACCGAACGGACTCGTTCACGGACAGAACTAGCCTCAGCCTGCTGGGGCCGTCGCTGGAGGGTCGCATCTCCCTGACCCGGGATTCACAGCAGCCCTGCCCCGACTTTAGCCCCGACCTCTCCACAACCTCTTACATCTATCGAGAAGAACGCCCACAGAGGCGCAGGTCCTGGATCCCTTTTCAGGAGTCCAGCATCTCTAGCTTCACGGACCCACTGTGGCCCCAGACAGCCATGCTGTTAG